ATTGTTTAAGGGATAGGCCACTCTCAGCTGAAACCATGAAACAACCTCTGGGCTGCAAAGTCATTGCGCGGCTAACTCACAGCGATCGAATAGAATTTTAGCGGATTGGTTATTGGTAGTAAGGGGGGGGAGGGGGGAGGAGGGGACAGGAGAACCTGGAGAAAAACCAGGGAATCAGGGAGCCTAACAATCTTTTTTCGCATATATGATGTGGAACCCAAGAATAAAAGCAAGAACCGCATATAAAGGAAAAATAGCAGTGTACTATCGCAAGACATTGCTAAAATAAGCGGTATTTAGGCGAAGTGACCGAAGGGGAGTAGGACTGCYCGAMGAAATRRKAWTTTTGGATAAAYAAATCAAAGGACCCTTACTAAACAYWCACATATATCGATATGTCATAAAAARAGTATACCATAAGTTCTATAAAATATATTAAATTTCAAAATGAAAAAGATGTGGCGGCCATGATGGTGATATTACTAGGAAAAATAATGGCTTTAGTTTTCAATGCCTCCGACATGACAGGCATGAAGTAGCATAGTAGTCGTAGCTTTTTCAACCACACGAAACGATCTGTCTAGATTGTATCACTCGACAAGGCTAGTCGGTCGCACTGATGCAAGGCTGTCAACATCTTAAAGCTCCAACGTGTTCAAACGCCATCAAAAATGCGTCGCTATTTAAAGCATCTTTATTTGCATTCCAATTTTAATTAAGATCGTATCGACTATCGCGAKTGGGTGAGTAAACATCCCAAAATAACATCATGCCTTAACAGATCATGCGCAGTACGTTCCTTCAATCGATAATCGATCGGCTCTTCATTGAACTCATCGTCTTCAATCTTAAAATCATCGATTATCTGTGTTCGTTAAGTTGGAAAAAAATACCGAAATTCCTCTTTTTCCAAATCATTTGATCAATAGATAACTGTCATTTGTTCGGTTAGCTTTCGCTGCCGACTTGATTCTAATTTATCTATGATTCCTCAAATTAATATAATACCTGCAAGTCTGCCTTCTACCATCTTAGAAATATTGCTCGAATTAGAATATTTCTCCCCCCCCCCCCCACCCACGGGATATTTCTCTCCCTCAATACTACTGAAACTCTCGTTCATGCTTTTATAACTTGATAACTGCAATTCTGTTCTCTATGGTCTCCCTAAGCATCTCATTGACAAACTTCAAGCCACACAAAATGCTTCTGCGCTTCTCATCAAGTGTTTTGTCTAGAAAACATGATCATATCACTCCTGTCGTCATTGAATTACACTGGTTACCTGTTGCTCATCGTATTAAGTTCAAAATGATTTTATTAACATTTAAAGCGGGTCGCGGTAAAAAGCTGAAACGGAAACAGCTGAAAGAGCTGAAAGAGCTGAAAGAGCTGAAAAGTGCAGAACTTCTTATTATCATAGATAATAATCAGTAGACAAATATTATGAAAGATGATATAATATGAATAATGTCAAACTAAACAAAAATAAAAAAAATGAAAAAAATTTTAACTGCAGAGATACCAGCCAATGGACCGACCAGCAAGGTCAATGTCTCGYATTCTCTTTACCGAAAAATAAAATTTCTACAGATTAGAAAATGAATAAAATTRAATAAAGTCCATGCACAGAGATTTCTTGTTAAGCCTTCTATCGTGCTGCTCAGATTTTGATCCTGGCTAGAATTAAGAGCTTCATTGCMGGACCGCTCGGTGAATGGTCAGCTTTGAAAATATTTCTTTGATACTGAACAGCCATTAAGAAGTCCAACTTTATATTCTGACGTTGATCAAGTTACTCAGTTTTTCTTAGCACCTTTTCTTAGCAACGGGCTGCTCATTGGTCAACATAACGTCGCTCGCCTACTGCAAAGACAGTTGTCAAGCGCTTCTCGGACTGAGCTAGATTTATTGCTGCTGTTGTTTTGTTTTTTGTTTTTTGTTTTTTTTTTGGCTTTCCTCGGCATAAAATAAAAAGGAAAAAAATCAGAGCTCTTTCAGCTCTTTCATGATAATGAGAGTGATGAAAGTAATTCCAGTACAGAAATAGGTTTAATTTCTGACATTTCTGCACTTTTCAGCTATTTCAGCTCTTTCCGCTGTTTCCGTTTCAGCTTTTTACCGCGACTCATTTAAAGCACTCCATGATCTTTCACTCGTATACATCTCATCACTCTTCACAAAATTAAACTTCAAGAAAAMTTCGTTCATTGCTCATTTGTTGCTGTCTTCAAAGTCTTCCAATGTAAATTCTATGGTCTACGTTCTTTCTGTGTTGATGCTTCTCGACTTTGGAACTCTTTACCGTCTTCACTTAGAGATATTTCTACAAGTTTRTCTTCTTTTAAAACTAATCTTAAAACTCATTTATTTAAAATAGCTTTTTCTTTGTAATTTAACTTAGCGCTTACAGCAGACTTGTATAAGCGCTTTACA